CTTGGGCAGAGGTGTTTCAGGGTCTTTTTTCCCCCCTTTTTAAATATTTATATATTTTTATTGGAAAAGTAGATTTACAGAGAGAAAAGGAGAAACAGAAAGATCTTCAATCCGTTAGTTCATGCCGTAGATGGTTGCAATGGCCAGAACTGAGCTGAGCTGATCTAAAGCCAGGAGCCAGGAGCTTCTTCTGGGTCTCCCAAACAGATGCAGGGGCCCAAGAATTTGAGCCATCCTCCACTGCCTTCCCAGGCCACAGGCAGGGAGCTGGATGGGAACTGGAACATCCAGAACATGAACTAGCACCCACAGGGGATCCCAGCACCTGCAAGGTGAAGATTTAGCTACTGAGCCATCATGTCAGATCCTCTCCAGGACTTTAATCAATTCCTCTGATCCCACATCTAGTGGTCTTCCCGGTGCTCTGTTAGCTGTGCTCCAGCCCGTGTCCACAGGGCATTGGCAAAATCAGTTGAAAGAGAAGCCTGATTAGATCAGAAGTCATCCTTGCATTGTGTTGCTGTTACATAAAGGTAGTAAGTGAAATTTTCTAGTATCTTCCAGAAGCTGGATGCACTTTATCTCATGAAGAAATAAAAACTCACTTAAAAAGTCATTTTCTCAGCCTCCTTTTTAATAATCAGCCCCAGTGCATCAAGGAAGAACTCCAACGCAAGTTTCCTTTTCAAGGTGTCGCAAACCAATCGCAGTGAAATGTCTAACCAGGGAACTGTAATTTCCTGACCCCAAGCCATTAAACCTCAGCAATGGCATCACATTAGCTTTTTGCATGTAATGGTTTAAACACAGACTTGCCAGTTCAAAGCACTGGGAACTATTTCATTACGCTCTTCCTAGCTGTGCAAGAGTGATTTTGCACCAAGGCTGAGAAACGACAAGTTTACCCATGAACTACGGAAAACTCGGATCTGTACAAAGAAGGGAACTCCAGCCTTTAATTACACATCACTATTTCATTTGACTTAAGGAAATGGAGTGATCAAGCCTTGTCGCCATATTCTTGGGTGTGGAAACTGGGAATAATACTATGTTCTTTACTTCCTAGTAGATTCTCACAGGAGTTATGAGCAGAATTTAATTTATACCAAAATACAGAAGGGATCTTAGATGGAGGTTCTGGGATTGGTTCTAGAGAGAGGAAGGACTCAGGCCCAGTCTCTTCTCCCTTGTGGTTTATGTTTCTGAAGATGAATCAAGCATAGGCATAACTTGAACTCTGAAGCAGATGGCACACCTGCTCTGATGACCAACGAAAGGTTAAGTGATGTACAGGAGAGGAATGTTAATTTTGCCCCACAATTCTGGAAGGCAGTAAGGAGGAGGCAGCATGTGAGTTGGACCTGGGCATGGGCAGCTCTTTTAGCTGGCGATGGGAGTTCTATGAACAGCAAATAGTTTCAGCAGAGTGAATCAAGGGCCAAGTGATGGGTAAGTACAGGGCAGGGGGTGGAAGGTGAGTCACACGGTGTGTAGACCATCCAGTGCTGACTCTTCCACTGTCCTAAACAGTGTCTAGCACAGGAGCACTGCCTGGGTCTCCTAGTCTGTTCAGACTGCTGTGAAAAATGCCTCAGATGCTGCAGTTTAGAAAGAGCAGGAGTTTATTACTCACAGCTCTGGAGTCTACGAGTCCAAAATGAAGGCCTCAGTGATACAGTGTCCCATTGGGCTTGCTCCCTGCTCTGTGGACGGTGCCTCCGTGTGTATGGTAGAAGGCACGAAGGGCACAGAGGTCACTCAATCTCCCTGGTGTTTCTTCCACAGGGCCCTAATGTCACTCTCATAACCCAGTCCCTTCCTGAATAGCATGCACCAGGCCCTCCAGCCAGGAGGGAGTGTGGAGGTTCCCTAGATCTCAGCCCCTGTAGCCCGGGAGAGCTCTGCTCAGTACTGCTGACTGGTTGGTGCAGCATCGCCATGTGCCATGGCCTTTCATTTCAGCACTGACAAGATCCTGGAGGCACTCCTCCCCCTGGTGCTAGCAAAACCCAAGGCTCCCCAGCTCATGGCTGGCATTACAGAGCTCCTGGCACGCTTCACTGCTCCGCTCCTCCACCCTGCACCCAAATCCCAACCCAAGGGTGGTAGAGGCTTCCATTTTCCCCCACCCCACGACAAAGCCCTGTGTCCCTGCCTTGGAACCTGAAGTCACCCTGAACTCAGTTGTTGCCCTGGTTACTGTATCATCACTTCTGAAGTTTGCTTGTAGAGTTCAACGCCATGCCTGCCTAAACCCGTTTCCATCAGTTTGAGACTGACCTGATGAGCTGTGCATGTGCATAAAGGAGGCTGAGGACCCTGCAAGATGCCACCTAGAACCAGCCATGCATGCATCACAGGCTGGTTTCTGACTGGTCAGCCTGCAGCAGGACCTGGTTTGTGCCCACACACTAGAGTCCAGTCACTGGATGTTTCCATCTTCCTGCCCATTGGCTTCCTAAAGTTGTCCCACTCTGCTGTGTTCACTTCTCCCATTCTTGGTTCCGCGAAGAGCAACTCTGATTCCGGGGGATTCTGCAACTGGTCTCAGAGGGCCTTGGGCTGGTGGGAGGAAGGGTGGGACACATCCAAGGCCAGAGACTATTCTTGAGAAAGCCTCTCTTCCACATTCTGACACATGTGGGAAGGTTGCACATTCAGTTCCCATTTTGGAGACTCAAAACTTCCATCTTAAAGCACAGGCCTGGCAGGAAGGATTCTTATGCTTTATTTAATGCAGTCTCTCTGCATCTACTGGATCCTAATGATACGGTTTAGGAAAGCAGCTAGTTCAGGCTCGTGAATCTGGAAGCTGCACCTCTCCTGTGTGTGTAACACTTTTTGCCCACCTGTGCCTCAGAGGGCACCAATCATTACCTAGGACTAGGGGAGGTGGGGTTGCATTGTGTGACTTTCCCTCTCAAAACTTTATGAAAGCCCACACCGGGGAGGGTTTCATTGTTGGCACTTCAGCCTTTTTTGCCTCCTAGATGCTCCAGCTCTTAGTCTCCCCTGCACCTGCTTACTCTCTTGTTTCCTGCACATGAACTTGGAGAACAAAAGTTTTCTTTCCCTTACTCTTTCGCTTTCTGGCTTATTTCCCCCTGAACATGATCCATATGTGTCTGTATTCCTCACCCTCTGAATAAAGTTGACCACTTGCTTAAGCCGTGCCAGTGCCTGTACTTCAAATGCTTTTTAAGAAGTAAGAACCCAGGAAATAAATAGTTGGCCTTAATCTAGCCCCACAACATTAGAACACTATGTCACTATCCCAGGAGACACAAATGTTTGATAGAGCAGTTTGGGAAACATTGGATTATTCTCATTGCTTAGAGAAAAACTCATTTCACTCAAACTATTCCTTGAACAAGGATATAGAAATGGAGGTGATTCTTTTTAGAAAGAGCTTCCCAACACAGTAGTTGTGTCCCTTAGTGACAAGAAAGAACACATCTGAGACATGCACTACCAGGTGATCTCAATGTTGTGCAAACATCATGGAACGTGCCTATGTGAAGGGAGTAGGATTACCACCTGCCACCAGGTGTGCAATCTTATGGGAGTACCACTGAAGATGGGCAGTCCAAGGCAGACTGAAAATCACCCTGTGTGCAGGACTGTATTTTTTTTAGAGATTTATTTTTTTGTTTTTATTTGAAAGTCAGATACACAGAGAGGAGAGACCGAGAGAGAGAGATCTTCTGTCTGATGATTCACTCCCGAACTGGCCACAATGTCTGGAGCTGAGCTGATCTGGATGCAGGAGCCAGGAGCTTCTTCCATGTCTCCCACGTGGGTGCAGAAGCCCAAGGCCTTTGGGTCATGCTTGACTACTTTCCTATGCCACAAGCAAGGAGCTGGATGGGAAGCCGGGCCAATGGGAATAGAACTGATGCCCATATGGGATCCTAGCATGTGCAAGGCGAGGACTTTAGCTGCTAGGTTACCATGCTGGCTGCAGGCCTGTGTTCTAACAGGGAGTCTGTTACCAGGACAGCGTTTGCAGCCTGTTGTCTTGCAAGCCCCCTTCCTGTTCATCAGTGGGGAGTTCTTCAGGCAACCTGCCCTGATGGAGATGGAAGCAGTTACCTGCAAACAAAATGCTGAGCGTTTGAATTCGCCACCAAAGTTGCCACTTTGTGGCAACTTTGAAAGTGCCCAGCATTTCACTTTCAAATTTCAGTAAACTTGGAACCTTCTTCAATAAACTCACAAGCAGGTAGGTAAGTGGCCTTGGGAAGGAGCTAGATACTTGATAAATAATGCACGTCTAAATTGTCACGGCTTAGTGTGTGACCTGCTCAGCAAGTTTAAGGAACTTAGAGTTGCTTGTGGAAGGAAAACAGAGCGTAAATTGATGACACCTGCATCCTGGGCGCTCCAGCCGGTGGGGGACAGCAGTGGTCCTCAGTGGGAGTCGTTAGTGTTATCTGGAGACAGCTGTTCCAGTGGTCACTCCGTGGAAACTGCACCACACTCTATGTGGTTGCACCATTCCTTTGGAAATCCCAGCTACCCTGCATTTCAGTTTTTGCTGACAATGTGTGCATGTGTCCAGGACAGCGAGCGGATGGCTCTCTCTACCTGTCCCGAGTCCTGCAAAGGCCCTCCTCGCCTGGGGCCTGCTGCTTCTGCCCTTCCCTTTCTCATCTTCTCAGAGCCTCCACGCAGGTGCCCACCCTTGCTTTCCACCTTGTCCCAGGGTGATACTCAATGGTGTGGGTTTCAGTGAAAGGCAGAGTTGGGAAAAAGCATGGAAACTGCCACACCCTCCCTGAATCCACAAGCTTTGATTTAGAAATATAGCTGATCACAGATCCCAAAATGGAGGTGTCAAAGGTCCAGCCTGAAAATAGGGACTCTTGCGGGTCCCTCTCCAGCTAGGACCCAGTCCCCAGAGAGTACTGCCACCCACCTCCCTTAGGGCAAACCTGACTTAATGCAACACCACAGTCTTTTGTGATCAAAATGAAACCACAGAAACAGCAACAACTGAATTCTAAAAGTATCATGGTTTAATCATTTGTTTGTATTTTTATTAAATTTTTTTAGATTTCTGCCTGGTTATGACAATGAAGTAGGAAACCACAATTACAATTCACAAACTGTGGCATGGAGAACAACACGCACTCTGTCAGGAATTACATCAAACCCTTTCCTTTTTTATTCATTCAAAGAGAGTCCAATGTACAAGTGTCAAATGTGAGCACTGTCACTCTATGTATTTTTTGTTTGTTTTCTCTTAAAAGGGGGAAAAAGACATTTGTTCTGGCAGCACGCTTACAATTCCAGGAAGTGGTTTTGATACCACCAGTTTTAGGCAGAGACACCATTATAAACCTGGAAGGCATCTTTTGCCGAGGTGAGGGACTCCTCGGCTGGAAAACCATTCCTCCTGTGCTTTGTGAATGGGCTGTCAGCCTTGGCCAGCGACTGAGTCTTCGCAGGTGTTGAAAGAGAAAATGGAATTTCCTGCACAGACAGCAGAAATTGCCATGGAGCAGAGCATTCCTGGTATCCCGAGCCCCCCCATCCCCGAAACTAGTTCTCCTGTCTTCCTGGGGCTTCTCGGTGGTTACATGACCCTCCACCAGGGGCCACCCATTTTGTAGAATCACACATCACCAATGTTACCTCCTATACTGCTTCTCTAGGGTTCCAATGATGGCACAAAAATCAGTTGTCAGAAATCTGATATTAAGACTGTGGGCACTTGTGTTCACACCAGGAGCAGACACTTGGGGGGAGGGATGTGCTGCTCTGAGGAGCACTTCTTTCATTTTCCATGCCCTCCCCCCTTTGGGGGTGTCAGCCCAACATCATACACTTAACAGAATTTTTTTTTCATGTAGAAGACTGGTCAAAGTTGGTTCAATGGACAGTGGCAACTGTCTCATGCCAATTAAAAAAGAAAAAACTTATTGCCCAACAATTCAATAGTTCATGAAGCAAGTAAATGTTACCATTCAGTACACACACACACACACACACACACACACACACACGAGAACTGTGACAAAAGGATCAACCCGAGTTATCTTGTGACTGTGTACAAAAAGCAAATGAGCCCCCTAAACTTGACTGATGCCACATTCAAGTGTAGAGACACGTGACATTCAAGTGTCATCTGATCCGTGGGACTCTTTTCTAGCTGGAGGAAATCAGATAAATTCCACTGGCTGGTCCAGAGCCAGCCAAGTGGCCTCACTGGGCACAGCAGATTCTGCACCAAACAAATGTGCAATTTCCTGCCATGCAGCCACTTGTTTATTTCTCGGAGCACGTTTTGTAGGCTGCGGCATTCCAAGAGTCAACACTTTGTACAAGAAGTGGAAGAGGAATACCAGTTGACTCGTTCCTTGCCTGCCACTGGTGAGAAACGGTTGGCTCTCCACGGTGTCTGATTCCCAGGGGGAGAAGTCGGAGGAAAACACACGGCTTCTACGTTCTCCAAAGCTTAGGTGCTACTACTGCAGCGTATGTTGCTTGGCCCCAGCTGGGTGTAAGAGAGCAAGTGATTTGCAGGTTTGCTTTTCTAGTTGCACCTTACAGAGGTTTTTTAACCCAGCATTTTGCTGGCCCTGGGCAGTGGACCGTGTCCAATGAGAGGCTCTATGTTATTACCACTAAGGTGGGACCCAGCCTTCCGCCTGGCAAGCCCCCTGTTGGAGGGTCCACCAGCCAGTTTGAAAGTGCTGTGCTGATTTCCAGACTGTCTAGAAAGGGATTTACTAGCACAGAGCCCCTTGGTCTGACCAGTCACAGACCCCTGATTTGCATCAAGTTAAGCCAAGGCTAGGGTGCCTTTAACTGCTATGGTGTCCCTGGCTCTGCCCGACACTCAGGCTACGTGGGGGAAGGGAAGAAATCACACTATGGCATGCCTGGTGACTGACAGGCAGAGACCACTATGGAAAAGCAGGGTGGGGCACTGCCATGGTTGGAAATGCAGTTAAGGGCCCAGCTGCCTACCGGCAAGCTTAGAACCATGGGCTCCTGGACAGACACCTGTTTTGTTTTTCACATCTGAGAAGGAGGATTGACAAAACAAGAAAGAAAAAAAAATTTAGTTTCACAGGAAAAAGAAGAGATCAGCTCCAGTTTGGCACAGTTCTCATGCAAAATATTGCACCCAGTGTCAACTAATGCTAGAAGCTTCAAACTGTATAAATTTAAATGTATTTGCATATTATAAAAATAAAGATAAACATATACATATTTTACACTAGTTTACGGGAACAGCGATGAATGTCAGTCGATCCTTCTTTCACATTGAACAGAACTGAAATCTGAGGGCTCGAAATACTGCCACCCGGACTGAACCTATGGCTTGTATGTACGCGGAAAACAAAATCCCTGAGAAGCCGTCCGACATTTTTTTTTCCTTGTCTTCAAGTAGTGCTCTCCTTGGAGGATCACAGTTCTGAGGTTCAGGTTGTCAAACATTTGCTCCATAATCTCTCCCTCCTTCCCCTGCCCTCTCCCCACCTCTTCCGGGTTCTCAGACGCTGAACATTGCTTCCTTCCAGTTCAAGCAGAAGGTGCTCAGGAGTGCGGAGGGCCAGCCGGGGTCAAACAGGGGTAGGGGTGGTGGTGGGGGGGTGGTCCCAGGAAGTCCTGGTGCGCTCTCTGCTCCACAGAAATGTCACAGCCATGAAAGTCACTGGTTTCTGTGCTTTTCACCAACGTTCTTCCTGCAAAGAGAGCGCAGAGATGACCAAACGGAAAAGACCACGGCAACCGATTCGAACAGGAAGTGATGGCGGAAATCTGCTTCCTGTGCATTTTGTGGCTACTTCTGGAACTCCTTATAAACATGCAAGAGTTAGGCAACTACTGGAGTCTCCATAACAAGAAATGGTCTTCTTAGTGATAAATTAATTTAAAAAAAGAGTACCTAATATGCTTTAATCCCGTACACTGTTATAATTTTAAAGCCTAACCAGATTTCCAATAAACTGCCCCAAATGCTGCACACAGACCTGCTTCTTCCCAATAAACACAAATGTACATACACAGATACACCCTGGCGAGCCCTCCAGGAACAGAAACGCATACTAGGTGATGGAAATGACTGTCTTTTGGAGTAAAGAGCATGATGGGACTTCAAATGTCACAAACCAGGCTATCAACTCCAATCTGAAGTGGGATGAACATCAAATGAAGAAACGACTGCATCCCCAGCTTGTTGAACAAGTGCCATTCAGTTCAAACAAACTGCTTAGGGGGAAAACATCCATTGTCCCCATCCCTTATTTTAGCTTTCCTGTGATGACATGTGGCACACACGGTTTTTCAAAGTTTTTGCAACATGTGCTGAAACATATGATGACATCAAAAGGAAAGGAAAACCGGGGTTGGGGGTAGCAGGGTTTATGACCTTGCTACCCAACTTCACGGACACTGCTAATCGCATATCCAATAAAGACATGGGCATCTCCGGCCCATGGAAGAATTAGCAGTGGGTTTGTGTGAGCCCAACAACAATGACAACACCCAAAATCAGTCCCTTCCATTTCCCCATTGGATGATCTGAGTAATTCGTGACTCCAGATAGCTTGCAGGTTACTCTGCCTTTTACTGAGAGGCGGGGCCAGACTGGCCCTTAACTAGGGTCAGCTGACGCCTAAGGATGTCTGCCGGCTAGAGGCAAGGCCGGGCATTTGGGTCCCTAGGGAGAGCAGCCTATTTTTATAAGCACTTAGCCATTCAGGAGTTTCTGAAGGCTATTAATATAGCAGACTCCTGGCAGAGGAGGTTTGGAAAACAGCCTCAGATTCCAGGACTAATGAGATGGATCCATTTTGGAGGAGACTTGCACTGTGAAGACACACATCTCCACTGAGTTGGGTACTGAGTTTTGGTTCATGTGGGAAAGCCTCTCCCACAGACCCCAATGAACATTCAGAAACATGCATCATGTCTGGCTGTCTGCTCTCCCAGGCCACATGAAAGACAGAAACATCAGGATTCCTAATCAGGGACACTGAGCCAAGAGATCTTACTGATGAGCCAGTTTGAACATTCTTCCACACCAAAATCCCTCTTTGCACGCTGCAATCTTAGAGCCACTCGATCCTCTCCTTCTCTGTCTCTTGCTGCTCCTCCATCTCCATAAACTCCTGCGGGGGCTGATGCCATGGTACAGCAGGGAAAGACATCAGCTTGAGATACTCGCATCCCATCTCAGGGTGGTTCAAGACCCAGTACTCAGCATCTCTGATCCAGCTACCTGCCAGTCTATGGCAGTGGGTGATGGCCCAGGTCCTATGGCAGTGGGTGATGGCCCAGGTCCTTGGGCCCCTGCCACCCTATGTGGGCAACCTGGATGGAGTTCCCGGCTTTTGGCTGTTCCGTCCATTTGTGGAGTGAACCAGTGAATGCTCTACACGTGTGTCTCTTCTATCTCTGTCCCTCTGCCTTTTAAATGCATAAATAAATAAGCAAACCACGAAACACCCCTTCATCCCATCCTGCAGAACCAGTGCTGCTTCCTGGGATGTCTGCTGACTCTGGCTTTGTTGTGGGTACAGGTGCCTGTTGGCAGCACCATCTCAGGCAGGCATCACATGTCCACTGGAACGCCACCCTCACTAGTCTGTGTGCTTACTCCTCTGACTCCCACTCCCTCCTAGCAGGAGGCCACAAGAATCTCCAGGGCAAGCTCTGATCTTTCTGCTTCTCCATACCTGGCCCCTTGCTTCTTGGAGGGGTAGGGACACAAAAAAGATCTGCTGAATGAGTAATGGGTGAAAGAAAAGCCACAACTAAGACACAATCCTGTCATGAGGCATACCCAGTATTAGCAGATGGGAAGAGTGACAAGTTAGAACCAGGAGCTGACGCTTGACCTTGGCCTTGGGGACTGGGGGCCTTCATGGGGAGGGACAGTGGGGTGGCAACCAAAGGCGGAAGGGCAGTCAGGGGTACAAGAAGGGTGACCCCTCCCACAGTAAGGGAGTGGCTGGCATCTGACTGGGAAGGGCCTTGAGGGTCAGTGCTTGGCATTTTGAACTCGAATCTGGAATCATCAGGAAGCCAGTCAAGGTTATCAAATAGGGAGAGCTGGTGATGGGTTCAGTGTTAAAAGATAAGAATGATGTGAAAGACAATCCCTCCAAAACAAAAAAAATAAACCCAAAAACTAGTGTGGAGGTTAGAGGCAGATGAGCCTGAACCCAAGGGGGCTCAAGGGAGTGTGATGCAGGCCAAATCACTCACACCGAGGCACAGGAACATGATGGGGTGATGGGATCACAGGGCTCAATGAGAGATCACACTGGGAAGAAAGGAGAGGGTCCGCAGCTTGGTGCAGGTTGAGGGAAGACGAAGTCACGACCCAAGGCAGGCAGCTGATATGGCTCTTCGGGGTAGAAAACAATTTCGTCTCCACCTGTGATTACTAGAGAGAGACCCTGAAGGGGGAGCTCTACCTAGAAGTGTGTGAGGGATGATCATCAGACCAGAAAGCTCCCCCAAAGGTGTTGGTTGTTCGACTTTGGGTCCAGCTGCTTCTAAAGCTCTTGGCAAAGCACTGGAGGATGGCCCAAGTGCTTGGGTCCCTACATGCACATGGGACACCCAGAGGGAGCTCCAAGCTACCAGCTTCAGACTGGTTCAGCTTATGCTGTAGCGGCCATTTGAGGAATGGACCTGCAGATGCAAGATTTCTCTGTGTCTCTCCGTCTCTCTTCATAAATCTGCCTTTCAAATAAAAATAAATCTTAAACAAACAAACAAAAACTACATGTAAGGCTCCTGTCTACAACTCCCCTCTTTCTCTGCTCTGTAATGCCTACCTCCCGTAACACCATCCTCCCATCCCCGCCCCATGCCTGGGCATGCTTCCTCCTTGTGGGAACTGTGAAAGATCAACTCTCTTCTGCAGACCGGCCTCTGATTTTCCAGTCACACCCTGTAGCATACAGTCGAACACATGTGCAAGCAAGGGTACTTGTGGCCGTGCACTCAGCACCGAAGTCAGCAGCCACAGCATGGACCTGGAGTCCAGCAGTGCAGTTGGCCACCGTGATTTGGGGGGCAATGCCATGATCTGCAACAAAACTGGTCTGCCATGTGTGACTCACAGGATTGCGGGAGGCTTATGAGTACAGGGCTTGGGCTCTGAGGCTTCTCCCTAGGGTGCTGCAGGCCTTTGGCACTACAAAATAAAAGATAGGATCTCTCACGCAACATACATCCCATGATGTGAGGCTGGGGCGTGAAGGCTTGCTGCAGACAGCCTTATACACAGATCTCTATGTGTTCACCTTGACCTTGATGGGACTGGGACAGCACTATCATCATCCACCTGTCTGACATCCACTCACAAGTTAGCCAACAGAAAAGTCAGGATTCTGGCTTTACAGGGGTGCTATGCAGTTCTCACATTTATATGCCATCCAGTGTACACCACTGACACTGAAAGTGGGAATAACAGCTGTTACTTTGAGTTGGCATTTATTTATTCTTAGAATTACATAAAAGGGCCCAGCACAATGGCTTAATTGGTTGATTCCTTCCCCTTCAAGTGCCAGGACCCCATAAGGGTGCCAGTTCCTATCCCAGCCATTCTACTTCCCATCCAGCTCCCTGCTTGTGGCCTGGGAAAGAAGTCGAGGACAGCCCAATGCCTTGGGACCCTGCACTCATGTGGGAGACCCAGAGGAAGCTCCTGGCTTCTGGCTTTGGATCAGCTCAGCGCCAGCCATTGCAGCCACTTGGGGAGAGAACCAGTACACGGAAGATCTTTCTCTCTGTCTCTCCTTCTCTCTGTTAATATGCCTTTCTGATAAAAACAAATACATATATATTTTTAAAGGTCTAAAATGCTCACAAGAACATGATGAGGTTAGTGTTGATGCCACTTCAGAAATGTCACAGACAGACAGACATTTTGGGGCTAAACATTTAGAAATCTGTGTACTGGTTCTTTCTCATAATCTGCATTTCTCAGCAACTTTCTCAAGACCCTCCTGGTGTGTATCTCCCTGCTGTGCAGAGTCTCTGCAGGAACAAATGGTGAAGATTCACACTCAAGGAGTGACTCCAAAGCTCAAACTGCCTCAAGAAAACAAACACCATTCATACAGACCTTCAGGCTCGGTTAGTCAAAAAGCTTCTTCCTTCACAATGCTCGAGTCAGTTTTAAAAATTAGTTTTCAGGGCTGGTGTGATAGCTCAACAGGATAATCTCTAACTTCAAATGCTGGGATCCCATACGGATGCCAGTTCAGGTCCTGGCTGCTTCCCTTCTCAGTCAGCTTCCTGTTTGTGGCCTGTAAAAGCAGGCCTAAAAGCCCAGGGACGCTGCACCCACATGGGTGACTCCGAAGAAGCTCCTGGCTCTTGGCTTTGGATTGAGTCAGCTGCAGCTGTTGTGGCTACTTGGGGGAGTGAACAAGTAGATGGAAGAGCTTTCTCTGTCCTTCTCTGTACATCTGCTTTTCCAATAAAAATATATAAATCTTTAAGAAAAAGATTTCTTTCATCCAACAAGCATCTAGGATTGTTGATACAAGCAGTGTTAAAGCCAACGAAGCCAAGCTCCAGTAGTTCCCTGATCTGGTTCCCATCATGACTTGACTCTTTCCCGAGGAGGCTCGGCTCTGTGGAGGCTCTTCATCCCCTCCCTTCCCCACCCTTACCTTCTCTGCACTCACTGAGTCCTCAAGGAGGCCTTCCCCATTCAAGA